AGCTCAGTGCAATGTTTCTGCTAATACACAGAGATATGGACCCTCAGGAAAAGTAAGCTAATGGTAACCAGAAACCAGGGACTTGATACTTGTTGGTATTGCTGATTACCTAACAAATCCTTTGTGGGCAGTATACATGCAACAGTTCTGCACGTACACGGGCACTCAATTACATCATTGTTTAAGCGGCTACTGTAGTCAGGTGCTGCTTTGGTTGGGATGTTCTATCAAGAGCTAGTGTTATATTTTTAATGGAACATACACTTTAATTAAAAGGAGATTCTGTCATTTACAAAAGAAAGAGCAAAAGTCAAGACACTCCATGGAAAAGCAAAAAGCAACACACCAGCCTTCTGGTCCTTTTGTCTTTTTGATTGCATGTAGGAGTGGTGGCTGCTGCAGGAGGAAGGGTTAACTTTTTAAACGGGCTGGTTGCCTCCTGACTTTTTGCACATAAAGTTCAGGGAGAGGCTTCTTCCCCTCATAATGAAGCTTTCTGCTGCTAATGGCCCATGCAGGCTCCCTCGGCTCCTCCAAATTAGAAATACTTTTGTGCTCCTTTGCTTCATTAACAGTAAAGAGAGGGAGATTGGTGGCTATTTAGGGCACAGGGAAATTGGTGGCTATTTAGGGCAAGTGAAAATTGTAGTAATTATGGTTGGTGAAGTCTCTTCATGGTGTTCTTTGACTCTTGATGTTCTTTTGGTGATTTTCAGAGGAGCCCACCACTGTTGATGTTGGCATTTGGCCTAGAAGGCCAGGAGCTGATCTGATTTTGAAGTTGTGGCCCCTAGTAATGGTCAATGCGAGGCATCTCGCCTGCTGGGATATGGGTCTTTTACATTTTGATTCGCGTTTTAGAGTGCACCATGTGGTCTTGTCTACCACCGGCTGTGATGAGGTGTGTTTGGAAACTTCCTTTTGACGTGCACAGAAGCTGGTGCTGCACACGATGGCCTAGGAAACGGAATCCTAAACAAACGCTGGATGGGAAGGATGAGGATGGCTTGATAGGACCAGGCATCTGGGAGAGTGGGTCAGGCATGAAAAGAAGAGAGAAAGGGTAATTTAGAATCAAAATGGCTATGACAGGTCTCTGGTGGACTAAGAGGCTGGGAGTACATTATGGGATGACGTTTGGGAAGAGAACATCAGAAGGAAGGCACAAAGATCCCAAAGATGAGTACAACTTCATTACTGCTAACATGTTGTGATGTGATAATATTTGAAGAAAGGATGGTCTGAAATTGTGGAAATGGAGTGAAAAATACCTCTTGCAGAATGAGGCCGGCTACGCCTTGCAAATGAAGTAGCTCAACAGGTCCTTCTGCACCTGGAGTCAGAATGGCTGGGCAAGGGGCAGCCCCAGCCCCAGAAGTATAAGGACCCACTGATCATTGAAGTCAGCTGGAATTGGAGATCACCACCTGCTCCCACATGCTAGATGACACAGAAGACTTCAGTCTGGACAGCACACCAGACAGCAGCAACTCCATGCAAACTGTCTAGAAGACCACCATGTACAGGAAGGCCACCATGTACCTTGGAAGGCAAAATGGTACCTGAAACCAATGATGCCAGAGTTCTGAAGCACTCAGGCAGCCGAGGAGGGGTGTCTTTAGGGAGCAGGGGACCAATTAAAGTATATCATTGGATCTACAAAAAAGAAAAGGAAACTCTTTCCTAAAGTGATTTAAATGAGAACATGTTATTAGGATGGAAGAAATATAAATGTCTAAGTAAATCTTAGCATTTCCTAAACCAGAACCCACAACTACAGCATATACTTTATACACATCCCAAGAGGTTTTGTGTCTACTAGATGTTTACATCTTCTTAGCAAGTATTCTACAGATATGGAGTTGACTGTATCAGACTCTGATAACTTATGATTGAGTGCTTACCTCCTTTATTAGTAAGTTTATAGGAAACCTGACACTTACATGGTTTTCTGAGTAGTCCCTCTGTTGCAAAGAAATATAGCCAGTTGAAGTATTCTAGTGGATGTATCATTTGTTTATTCATTGACAAATGCAGGATATGAAAGGCCATTTTATTTCTTTGTGTAAATCACTAGCTGGAAATTCTGATTTATCAGTCCCTCCTGGATCTAGGTCTTCTGATTCATTATTTGAGCTCATATATCACTGTGGACCGTGTAAGGAGACGCTTTCATAATCTGCAACACTCAGAATCATTCTTGGGTCTTTGGAGTGTCCCGTGAGAAATACTGACCAAGACACCCACTGCAGTAAACTTTTCCATCTCTTACATGTTTCTTAGTTCCAACTTCTCTCTTTTCACCACATTTATTCTACATTTATTTCCCAGAAGCTTATTTTTTTTGTTAAATACGGTAGTTGGGAAAACAGTGTTGGACAGTTTCTTGGGACACATTGTTTCAATCGGGGAAAGAGACAGGATGATTGAATATAAATAGCTAAGAATAGAAAGAAAATCTAGCACTCTAGAGGCTTTCTAAAGATTATAATTTTAAAATAAATTCTACAAACAGGACAGTGAGGATGTGAACGCCTGTCACTAGGCTTACAGATGGATGAAGTAGCACGGAGGGAAATCACGGAATGGATTGGAAGTTGGAACAGTGAGCTAACCATCCACTCTGATTCTTGGACTATGAATTAAGGATTATCCAGGAGTTCCAAATTAAATCCTGATATAAATGGAGGAGACAAACTCTAGCTGTGCTAAGCCCAGATACAAGACATTTTTATCTCCTCCAAGGTTTCCAAAGGTTCAGCTAATGCTGAATAGTAGCACTTTGACTCCCAAATGTCCCAATTATTTTTATTTCTTTGTTTATTAACAGATGAAACACACACTAATCTCACTGGAAGTTCTCCTTTGCCAGGGTCAGTACTCTGAGACATGAAAACTTCTGGGCATGTTTTAAAATGACCAAGTATCATGGCTGAACCTCTAGGCATTCAAGCAAGCAGAAAGGAATGGCAAGTCTGGCACATCTTCGGAACTTTCTTAAGTGAGCTAGAGGTAGGCGTTGTTGGGCTTGCTGATGTCTGCCGACTGCTCTATGGGGATGATCTCTCAAAGTTTCACTGTTGCCACATGAGCTATCATTGTCTCCATTTTAAAAGAAATGAAGTCAACAGGCTGTGGTGGCACTCACCTGTAATCCTAGCACCCTGGGAGGCTGAGGCAGGACCATCACAAGTTTCAGCGTAGCCTAGGCAATTTAGCAACTTAGTGAGCCCCTGTCTCAAAATAAAAAAAAAACAACAAAAAATGAAGAGGGGCTAGGGATGTAGCTCAGTGGAAATTCTCTGGGTTCAATACCTAGTATCATGCACAGAAAAAGAAAGAAAGAAAGAGGAAAAGGAAGAAGGAAAGGAAGAAAGAAAGGAAAAGAGAAAGCAGAAGAAAGAAAAGAAATCAACGCTTACCCAGAGTTGGTAGTTTGTCCATGTTCACCCTCACTAGTGTGTGCAGACCTTCATTTCCAGTTTATACCCATTTAACTCTAACTTGCCAATGTGTTTAACATTTAAAAATTTCCCTTTTTCAGCTGGGCATGGGGACACAACCCTGCAGGGCCCGCTGCAGAGTCGGCGGAGGCCGAAGACTGGCTTAAACCCAGGAGCTCACAGCCGCCCCGGGAGAACACAGGGAGAACCCGTCTGGAAACATTTTTATTCCTCCCATAATCTGCCACTGGATTATAAATTGGCTTTAGATACACTCGTGTCCCATTTCTTCCTTCCTCTCCTTTCCCTCTACTTTGAGAGTTTAGTTACTGGCCTGCAGCAACACCCCACAGTTAAAGATTCTCTTGAAAATGGAACCAAAGGGAGAAAGACAATTATAATGTATTGAGTTTTGTAAACTTTTGCTTTATTTTAGGTTCAGTCTGATTCACTTTTAGAGTCTTAGTACGGGATGAAGTCTATGTTTTAATGAAGCCTTCAAAATCACTCTGGGATGGGGAGGGCAACTTGTAGGATCTTGGAGCCTACGTTTCTAGTTCTACTTTGTGACACTTACAAAGACATATTACTTCTGTCATGTGCTGTTGCAATTTCCTCATTTGTTCAAATGCAGTTCTTGAAACCCTTTGTATAAATTAGGAAGGTGGCGCTGGGTGCTCTTGAATATCTCTTTATGTGTCCTTCATTCAAAACACGACCTGAGGGCGTTTGTGTGTAGGAACCTGGGCTGGTGCAGGGATGTCCAAGAGGCAGGAGAAAACACCTCCAATTTAAGGATCACAACGTCTAAGTTTTAAAATACCAACTCTAGGAAACAAAAATTCTATAGTGGCAGCGAACAGAGGGCATCAGACAGACCACAGGACAGCAGCCAGCTCACTGTTCCATTCTTCCCGAGAACAGGGAGGATTGCCGGGGTCATGCCTGCGGGGCTCTTGGAGTAGGGTATCTAAGGTCTGAGCAGGTTAAGTCCTGAGCATCTCTTATTTCTCTCCATATGAATACCTTTTTTTTATTTTAAAGTGAACAAAAAATAACAAAATACGATCATCAAAGGCAAAAACAAAACAACAGAAAAACAATAAAGATGATACACAATTTGAAAACAAGATAATAGGAAATTAATAGTGGTTGTATGACACATTGTTATCTTCAGCATGAACATCGAATTATTAAAAATAACATGTTTTCTGCTGATGATCCACTTGGTGTATGACAAAATTTTGGCCATGTACACTTCTTTGTTAAATTAATGGCGTAGGTGAACTCACTAAGACCATATTTATTAGCCTTCAGATCTGAATGTTCTACCTTCAGTCCACCAGCCAGTGTTATACACAAGGGACCTAATGTCAGCTTCCCCCTGGGCTGTTGTAACCCGCACAATGATTCCTAAACCCAACACAGACACGCTGACAAAGGGCCTAAGATTTGCAGGAAGCAACAGATGACTACAATGGATGGAACAGGAATGCATTAGGTTTAGAACGGGCAAATAACCTGAGAACCCATGTTTCTCTGTTTAAATCACTCTAGAACTAATGCTCCTGAAGTGTCTTGTGATTTAACCATCACTGACAGCAAAAATAAGACAACCACTGTCAATTATGTCCAGGACACGTTGTCTAACCGACATGGCTGGATGGCTCTGCTCTTGGATCAAGAGACCTACTCACTGCAATTTGAGGATCCTTGCAGCAACAGATCTTTGCAGGTAACTCTCAGATTCCATTCGTTGGTGTGTCCCATTCCCAATAAGGGGCTGTTACTCTCCTTCTAGTTATGTTTGCAGATGTTCAGCAGTAGCATTTTTTGCTAGATGAATATGTTCTGAATGTGAGATTTAGTTGATCCAGATCCCATCTTGAATGCAGAAGAGTTCCTCCTGGAATATTAAACTTACTAATTCAATCGGAAAGCGCTGCTAAGAATTCTCTAGAATTGAAGTTTTTAAAATTACAAGCTTAAAAAACAGTTTTCCTCAGCTATGTGTTTGCAGCTGGAGAAAATGTCCTAAAGACATTTGTACATTTCGTACTGCCACCTTGTGGCAAAAAATTAACTTGCACACGGAGTGAATGAGTCTCCAAGGCTGGTTGGGACTGACAGAGTGTGGTGGCTTCCAGGAGGGAGGAGGATGAGCTATGTTGAAAGTGGTGCATTGTTTTCTGGAGTGGGGAGTGAGGGACAGAGAGAGAGAGAGAGAGAGAGAGAGAGAGAGAGAGAGAGAATAGCCCAAGAAATTTCCTCCAGCTTCTCCTTGATGCAGCTCCTTCTGCGTCATGCAAATTCCCTGGAACAGTTCTGAGGGCACATCTTAGGGAGACAGAAGCCGCTTGGGTGCCCTATAGTTCTAAGGAATCCAGGGCGGCAGAAGCGCTGATCTTTTCCCAGGGCTCTCAGAAGGGACATGCGCCTCTCTCTCCTCCTGCGGTTGCTGTGAGAATGTCACGGGAGTTTTCACAGAGTGTGGGCGATAGCATGTGACTGTGGAGGGGGACGCCTTGGGTGTACGTCCTGGCTAAGCACTCTCCTGCTTTTGCGATATGAGGGGAGCTTCTGACCCCTGCCTTCCTCAGGCTCCTCAGCTGTTAAGTGACGCCACAGGAGCGGCAGATGCTCCGGCAGTGTGGGCCGTGACTGGCGCCCGTGCACGAGGCTCCTATCCGCGCCGGCCTCTCCAGGCGGCGGGAAACGTAGGACGGAGCTCCAGACCCTGCCCAGTCCCTTCTACCTGTCTGACCTGAGACAAGTCAGTTCCCTGGTCCGGGTCTTCGTTTCCTTCTGTGTTAATTAAGGTTGATAAATGAGAAGAACTTTGTGGTTTCTTTCACCTTGCACATTCTATGATTTAGTAGCTCTAGTTACAAACTTATTATGAAATAGATGTAGGTAGGCTAATTTCCTATGAGAAAACTACACTTTATTTTTGTACTATCTTATTTGTGAATGACTTTACCTGTGTTCTTTAGATCTTTGGTGGTGGTCATGGGGTCATTCCTCACTAAATGAGCATTATTATGGATTTTTTTCCCCCTTGTACTTGAAGTACTCAGCAACATTTGGCAACTTCTCCCCTGGGAATTACCTCCTGCTGGTGCACACGGACTTGCCACCATACCCTTACATCCTCGTGAGCTGTGGGAGCCGAGCGGGTCGGTCTCTTCCGTCTCTTCCCTCACCTGGTCAAGATCAAGGCTGTGACTGGTTTTTCAACAGCCAATCAAGGCAACTCAGCTACCTCGGTAAGTTTCCAACTAGGTGTGCATTGTCAGGATACAACATCAGGAGCCACCATTTATTCTTGAATTCCAGGCATTGCGCTACAGAGTGAGGGGCTGAAGGAAACAGCTTGTGTTATAATTAAACAGATGGGTTCTGAAATCAGACCATGTGGCTTTAAAACCCAGTGCCAGGACTTACTAGGTTGGGGGCATTAAACAGGTACCCTTTCACTTTTAAGTCTTAGCCCCCTTCTCTGCAAAATGGGAGGCTAAAAGAATCTACCTCAAAGGATAGGGAATCACGTAAAGGATAACACAATTTAAAACTCTTGATCTGAATACCTAGTCCAAAGCAATGCGTCATAAACATTGATGTGTTAGTAGCTCTAATCCAACTTGGAACAGTGTTGTATTTACAGTGAACAAGTGAATGTATACGGACGGTGACCACAGATGGGAGGTGGGTGAAGTATGTGTGGAAAGTGAGAAAGGGATCTTAGAACGGTTAGGAGGTTAGCAGGGAGATAGCCAAGGGCTGGTCTGAGGACCGCTGTGTGTTGTCTGTTTTATATCAGGATAACAGGAATCTTCCTCTGGGGAACAGAGGGTGAAAGAACTTCCTTACCTTTCTGTATATGTTTAACAGAATCTCAACGCTGGGGTCAGGACAGCCCACTTTCTTTGACTTGCAGGAGTCTGTCTCCTATCCTTCTCCCATTCTCCTGTCAACTCTGGTCACTTCTAGAACCAATCACATCAGCTGACTGTAAGAGCAATCACTTCCTAGAATGTCCTGTGAGAAAGAGATGAGATGGGTGTGAGAGTGATAACTTTGTTAAAAGTTAGTCTTAACAGATCCTCGCCAAATTCAGGGATCTATATCATCATAGCAGGATTCAGCCCCGGCTACAAGTCAGACTTGGCCTCAGGACTTGCAGGGCTGGCGCAGCATCCTGAGTGTCTTGTCTCCTCCCCTTGTCCTGGTCGCATGGTAGCTGGGTTTGACCTACGCCCGAGGCCTGGGACTATAGAATTTTAATGCCACCAGGCAGAAGGATCTGGTGCTTTCTTGATGATTTAAAGTTTTTGGCAAATTGAATGTCATATATTTTCTTTGCACTGAAATATACCATTCACAGTTTATTTCTAATTTGACAGGTTCACAAATGTAAACTAAAGCTATAAAAGCTCACGGTGGACAAAGATTGTTGAGACTGTTTACCACCAGAGCCGAACATTAAGTAACAGCAAATAGTGGCCATTAACTTTATGACTATTCACTCGTTACATAGTCTAGAATTTTTTTTTAAATTTTAGTTGCTGTCTTTCTATTACTTAGCATACTTCTGAAAAGCCTGACTCATTCATTGGTCAGATTTTATTCATGAATTGCAAGCTAATTCAAATACCCACGTAAGCCAAACACCACACAGGGACATTTAGAACACAAAGAAAAATCAAATAGTGCAGCCACAGATATTTTATCCTTTGATAGCACTCTTAATTAAATTAATATGTACATTTATGGTCTAAATACACCACTGTCTAGGTAGCTGTGTTTGTGTGCATTTATATATAGGTGTACATTTGTAAGTATATATGTGCATATATATGTTATAGATGACTAGTTTCATTTGACATTTTTACTAGGTACAAAGCTTGTATCAAATTTAAAAGCATCTTTGTGTTACAGCATCTAATGTCTCAAGCTTTGAATAAGACCTGGAAAAGGAACAGCAAGGAAGAGGCAGTTGCTTGGATATTTAATAAACTTGGAGACCCTTCTTCCTTGAGGAGGATTCCTAGCAGTAGCTTGTATGGTCAGTGGTGTCTCCTTTATCCTCTGAGTGTTGGAGCAAATAAGTGACTAGGCTACTTCTGCTCCCATATCTGGGCTGGCCCAGAGGGAGATGAGGCTTGCAGGAACTGAGGATCATCCGATTTTCCATGGGGGCCCAACACAGCTACATTGGGTTGTGCTGATTTAGTCATAATTGTGGATGTACTATGTGTGAAGTTCACAAAATCTATAGGGAGGTGATGGTTAGGATACTGTGCAGTGGGATCACTATGGTAGCTGGAACCTTAACAAAACACCAGGAAACAGAGCACCAGTTCTATGTGATGTACTGGTGAGAATGTCGCCTTTACTTACTGGTTTATGTCACATGCTGTGATTTATAGTATTAGAACTGGGATAATTTACATAACATTGGTCAAGACTTCAAGCATATGTGGGCTTATACAGGACTGACAAGACATGGGGAAAGCTGTGCATGTAGCGGTTTCATCGTATTACAGGGAAACTGGTTGACTTCTTTCAGGTGCACAAATTCGTGTGCCAGATCTTCTGGAGTGTTCTGCTCGTTCTTCCAGCTGCTGTTTCATTCAGAGTGCTGTTTCACTCACAATTGGCAGTGTTTCCTTCCTTTTTTGGACCACTTCTAAGTGGACCATCTTTTTATTGTTTGCAAGCTTACCACATCCCCCAGGATAGGAAGGTTTTTTAAAAAAATCCCAATTATCTACACTTCCTCCGGTTGGCTGCTTCCTATGTGATTTAAGATACCTGACGCACTGAGAGCCAGATGTGTATGGAAGGGATAAAGGCCGCGGTGTTCCAGTTCCTGACTGTGGGTCCCCTCCACTAGGGTGTGCTGTCCACTGAGTAATCACTGATGATCCCTTGCGGAGAAGGACGAGGGGTGGGGGTGTCTGCTAGGCAGGGTTGTGGGAGAAAACTTCTCACAGCTCCCCAGTGACAAAGGAAGAAGAAACTGCGTGGATACAGTCTGACCCTTGCATTTCTCTTTTCCACCATGGCAAGTTTTGCCTTGGTTCAGCAAATGTCTTTATGGAGTGCTGGGTTTTTGGAAAGATCGTGGCCAGTGCTCGGGGCTTATGGTTTTAATCAGAGGCTGGCTGGCTGCTCTACCTAGGGCAAGGCATTGTAATTGCTCCACGCCTCAATAGTTTCATTTATACAACGAGGTTAAGAATATTTACTTGTCTCTTGGAAATGCGGGACCAAGAACGCTCAGATGCATCAAAGTGTGATGAGCAGGCCATGTTACTGTACTGAAAAACTTGCCCCGTAGAATATTTCTCCGGAATTTTTCTTTTCCCCAGAAGATTAACAATGGCTGTATCTTGATTTCAGTCTATACATGACAACATTTCTGAACGTCTCCTGTTTTTTTAAACTGGATTTTGAAAGATACTTGTGGTCCACGATCAAATGACTCTATAGTGGATTGTTGCCATGACCGAAGTTTAATGCCATTCGAGAATTTGTTATCCATAGAATAAGACAACTTCACCCATTTAAAAGCTAGGTGTTAAGCAGATTGGTTTGGGTTGCCTTTCCAAAACCACTGAAAATTTCACTCAAGAAGCTACTTACAAAAGGAGCCACAAGGGAAGCCACTGCGTGCCATTGAGCATTTCGTGTTAGGACCTAGCGGGGGCCATGTTTGATGGCATAAACTCTGAGAAATGGCCTCTCCCAGCGGGAACTTCTGCAGCGACCTTGGGAGTGGGTCTGACTGTAGAACAAGTGCTTTTTCTATGGGTAAGTCAGGTATCACATCCGGGGAGCCCATTTTTCTGTTCATGCAGTTTGAATCACTGGCAGGTCCCCTCTCTGCCTTGCAGAGCTGGGTCCCCGTTGCCTCTCTCCCTGCTGCTTTTTTCCAGGGATGTTTCAGTTCATGGTGAACTATTTTTATTTTTTAGTTACATTAACGCTATGAAATAATTAGTCAGCTAATTAATCTGGTTTACAAGCTTTGTAGGATTCTTCAGCTGTCAGTCAGGCCCAGGCCCGAGGCCTCCATCTAGTCTCAGCTCTCTCCTGCCCATGTGATTCTCGTTGCCATGGCTACTGGCTACATCTGCTGACACCCCACTCTCTATTTATTGCTTAATTAAGAATTTCACGCTCAGCCCTTATCTGCCTCTAAGAACAAGCGCACACTGTTAAGAAATTCCAAATTTAGGCCCGGACACAAGGAAACCCTTTCTTACAGGCTGGGCTGTGTGGAGCCTCCCTAACGATTCTCAGCATCCCAGCCGCCACCCTTCAATCAAAAATCATTAAATGGGGCAGAGATAATGAGCATGTAGCATATCAAAAGAAGGATGTTTGCTTGGTCCAAGGCAGGAAAAGCTGCTAGGCCCCATGCTCAGCTCCACTTCAAAGAGAGATGAGACCCCCTCATCACTGGGGCCCGATAAAGCCCCATTTGTTCTGGGCTTGACTTATGCAAAAGGTCTGGCATGTTACAGTCCCATCTCACAGACGTGGGTTCCCCACCTCTCGCCCCCCACCTTCGCCGGCCCCCTCCCTGGCCTTCTGCATGCTCGTGTGTCAGCACTTAGGCAGCTGGGTCCTCCAAAGCATCAGGCCAGGCGTATAATCACTGACGCTGCACTCACAATGGCCACTTGTAGGGGGGTGGCCGGGAGGAGGTCTTCTTCACAATAGGAGCACAATTATTGCAGCTGCTAGGGAAGGCTATGCCTCTTCCTGTAGAAATATAATAGGACTTGCCCGAAACAAGAGGTGGAGGTTTAGGGGAGGTGGTAGGGGGTGGAGAGGGGTGGAGAAAACAATCTTGAGTTGATTATTCATACTCTGACTCTTGGAAGCTCGATGTGGAGCCAGTGGGGTTCCAGCAGCTGCTCGTATACTGCCCTCTTCTAATAATTGTACATTCTGTCGGGGGTCAACTTACTTTTGACCCTGTCCCTTTATATTGGTAAAAGGCTCTTTGGGGCAAACTGTTGGGCTGTGGCAGAGTACATTAAATACCCAGGGCCCCTTCCTCCTGCCCTCCCCCCTCCAGGCCAGCAGGCTGTGATAAATTCATATCAGATGCTGCACCATTCACAGTTGTCCTCAATTCACACAGCCCCGTCCTCACAGCAGCGGTGTGGCTGAGCTGGGACCTTGTGCGGGTGGCAGTTGAGAAAAGCGAGTCCCTCTGCCAGGCTCCGGGCTCCTACCGCACTGCCTTCCT